TGCGTCGTGCCGTGCTGTGGGTGGCGCGGCGCGGCGCGGCGCTCCTCGCGTCTCAAACACCACAGGTGTCATCTCCACTTACAAATCAGCTGGACGCTTTCCTGACAGGCCAGGGGCTGAGGGCTGGGTTACACCGTCTGCCAGCGGCCGCCATGAGACCGAGGTAAAGGCAGCCGCTTCAGGGGCCGAGACGGGGCTTGGCGACCGGCAGCAGGGAGCGCACTGCGGGAGAAAGGCGCTGGTTGAGCCTCCGGGGCATGGCAAACAAGACCCCTCCCGTAACACCTCTGGGATGAAGAGTTTGGAAGGGATCAGGAAGATCATAATGAGCCATGAAGTCAAGCGGCTCGCTCAGCCCTGCCTGGCTAGAAATGCTCCCGCTGCCAGGCCATTGGTTTTAAAGTGTGGGGGAAGCAGGACTCAAAGGACCCTCTGGGTCCACCCCTGGAAGAAGAATAGTTTTGAAAAAGGGCAGAGGAACCACAACATGGCCAAAAGAGATACGTAAGAAAAAGCAACAAGACAGACCACAAGGTTTCTTAGATGTGTCGGTGCAGGGTGAAAGGAAGCCATAGTACCTAGAGAGAATTATGACTTAATCAGCATTTCAGAAACCTGGGGTAACTGCCATGACTAGAGTGTCAGTGCTGAGGGGTGTTCATTGTTTTGCAGTGCTAGGTTTTGGGGAAAAGAAGGTGATACTGTATTTATGTTAGGAATTAACATAAACATAAGTGGCAATTCAGGAAGTTTTTGGAGAGTGGTGGGGACATCCTCCTGGTGCCAGTGCTGGAGCAGCCAACTAAGGACCATGCTCTTTTTGACCTGCTGCCCACAAACAGGGATGAATTGGTGGGGAGTGTATTAGTTACTAGTGGATGGCAACTTGGGCAGTGGTGACCACAAGATGACTGAATTTAGGATCCTGAGGAAAGGAAGGATGAAGAGCAGCAGAGTAAGGACCCTGGACTTCAGAAAAGCAGAATTCAACTTGCTCAGGGACCTCATGGGCAGGATCCCTGGGCAAGCCAGCCTGAAGAGGAGAAATGGCTGTACTCAAAAGAAGCCTTACTGAGAGTGCAGGAACAAACCATCCCGATGCGCAAGAAGACTAGCAAGTATGGCAGAAGACCAGCTTGGCTTAGCAGGGAACTCTTCAGTAAACTAAATCACTTATAAGAAGTGGAAACTAGGACAAGTAATTGGGAAGAGTGTAAGAGCATTGCTTGAGCATGCAAGGATGAAGTCAGGAAGGCCAAAGCCCAATTGGAGTTGCCTCGAGCCAGGGATGTGAAGGGTAACAAGAAGCATTTCTACAGGTATGTCAGTAGCAAGAGGAGGATCAGGGCAGGTGCGGGTACCTTACTGAATGGGGAGGCAACCTTGTAACAGAAGATACAGAAAAGGCTGAAGTGCTCAATGCCCTTTTCACCTTAGTCTTCACAGCCAAGGTCAGCTCCCAGACTACCACAGTTTGGGGAGAAGACAAGCAGCTAACAGTGGTAAAAGAACAGGTTAGGGACTATTTAGAAAAGCTGGACATATACAAGTCCATGGGACCAGATGGGATATACCCACAGGTGTTGAGGGAGTTGGGTGATGAATTTGCAAAGCCACTGGCCATCATCTTTAAAAACTCATGGCAATCAGAAGAGGTCCTGGATGATTGGAAAGGGGCAAACATAGTGCCCATATTTAAGAAAGGGAAAAAGGAGGATCCTTGAAACTATAGACCAGTCATTCTCACCTCAGTCCCTGGAAAAATCATGGAACAGATCCTCAAGGAATCCATTTCTAAGCACTTGTAGGAAAAGACGGTGATTAGGAACCATCAGCATGGATTCATCAGTGGATGTGGTATATTTTGACTTTAGCAAGGCTTTTGATATGGTCTCCCACAACATTCTTGCAGGCAAGCTAAGGAAGTGTGGTCTAGATGAATGGACTGTAAGGTGAATAGAAAACTGACTGGAGCATTGGGCTCAGAGGATAGTAATCAATGGCTCAATGTCTAGTTGGCAGCCTGTATCAAGTGGAGTGCCCCAGGGGTTGGTCCTGGGGCTGGTTTTGTTTAATGTCTTCATCAACGACCTGGAAGATGGCAGAGTCCACCCTCAGCAAGTTTGCAGATGACACCAAGTTGGGGCGGGGAGAAGTAAGATACAATGGAGGGTAGGGCTAGGATTCAGTGACCTAGACAAAATGGAGGATTGAGTGAAAAGGAATCTCATGAGGTTCAATAAGGACATGTAACCCAGGCAGTACTCCAAAAGGTACCCCCTCTCCAATTGAAGGGATCAAAGCAGGTGCACAAGTGCTGTGGGAGGTGTAGGGACTCTCCTCCCCCTATAGAGCAGAGCCAGACCACCACTGGGGACTTAACCATATATCTTTT